TAAATTCCGAGGAATTTTTTCCATAGGAGCCATAAAGGGCTTTGACCCATGAAGTGATGGCCTCATTTTCTGCTCCCCTTCAGTCTCACAGATGTTTTATGTAAATATTTTTAACCATAAATACAATTCTCTCCTTTTTTAGAAGCCATTATTACACAGTTCTGAAATTAAAACCAGGCAAAATGCTGCTGCTCCCTTGGCCTTTCCAAAGTGAGGATCATTTCTGTAACAGGAATGAAAATTTCAATTTTTTTTTTTTATTTTTGTCAGCTGGAAGACTTGGAGGTGACAGTGTCTGATCATCTCCAGAAGGTTTTAAAGCCCAATTTTGCAGCTGCCTGGGAGGAGGTGGGGGATGACTTTGAGAAAGAAGAAACCTTTGCACTCAGYTCCATTAAAACCCTCGATGGTGAGATAACCCTCATTAATTTWAATMWKMATTTTAATATTTGAATRATTTAATTTTAATACTTTAATAATTATTTTCTTCTTYAATCTCTGAATGCAGAAGCTGTCAACAACATCATCAAGTTCCTGGGCATGCAGCCCTGTGAGAGRTCAGACAAAGTGCCAGAAAACAAAAATTCTCACACCCTCTATTTGGCTGGTAAGTATTCCTAATTTTGAACTCCACATTCCCCACAGATTTTTCTAAATGAAGAAAAATCCTTCATTCTATTCCTGTTCCTAAATGAAGGGAAATTTAGGAGATCCTGCTGTTATTTTGGGGTTTTTTTTCTCTGTAGGAAGGGTTTTTTTTTCCCTTGTAGAAAGTTGAAGTGACCACGTGTGGTCTTGGATATCCTCAAGCCAAGCTCTGAATGTCTTGGGATKGAGGAATTAGGAATTCTTCCTGTGGGAATGGTGGAGAATCTTGGATTTGAGAACTTTGAGAGCAGGCACTTAATTTGAATTAAATTTGAATCAAATTTAAATTCAAATTAATTTGAATTTTAATTTAATTTGAATTAAATTCCTTGCCTGAGCTTATCTCACAARGGGTATTGTGGGAGCATCTTCTTATCAGGCACATCTTAA